CTTAAGTATGTCTTACGAAATTGAAGGTAAGTTTTCCATGCCAGAATGGTTACTTTTCAACACTGCTTTTCAAACTGGTCTACCTTCTCAAAACGCTAGTTGCAGCACTTGATGCTCAACTTTTAGCAGCGCATGCAGCCAGACAGGTTAACATGTTGCCTACATTCATGTTAAGATAAGCAGCAAAGACCATCAAGAAAGAGAGGAGAAAGGAAATCTAACTTTGAAATGAATTAGTTCTACGGGATTACCCTTTGCCAGTAAAGCTGTTTTAAGCAGAATCACACAGGAACAGACGACACAGAAGCTTGCAACAACTTGGGAGAGTGTAATGAATCCCAGCAATAGACATCAATGTTTCCATTCAGAAAGAGAAACGTTACTTTCCCCACACTCCTGCTTCTTTGAGCCACTCTAACAAACGCTTGGCTCTTCTACATATTTTGCTCCCCAAGGGTCCTACTTGCACAGTAGCTGGTCTTTCTGCTTCTCTAAGATGCAGCAGATTGAAAACAAAATGAAAAGTAAAACTGAAAGAACTATTGATGGGTAGTGGATAATTTTTTAAAGTAAATGTAGTGTCTTTCTTTTGTTCTTGGAATACATTCACGGTAGCCTTGAAAGTTAGCTTTCAGGTGGGAAGTAGGTCAAAATATACGCCAAGAGAAGTGAACAGAACATTTCTTTACTCACCCACAAAGATTTTAAAATCTGGATTCACAACTATAGCCAGCATTGTTTTATTTTAGAAGTGCTTAGCTTTTCCTTCTTAGGAGACAACACCCTTCTCAGCCCTGCTTCCCAACCCAAATCTTGTGAGATTGGGTTTCTGGCCAGTTTAACCCCCCTACCAGTCCTGAAAACGCATCTATTTTAGTTTCACCAACTATCACACAATGATCCCTGTCCTTTAAGGAACAGAACTGACTGTCTATTTTTTACTGAACTCGTGTGGCCCACTCAAAACAAACAGATACTGGCTAAGAGTAAAATCCAAATTATACACTGCTTTATCCTAGGAACGCAAAGTACAAGGCCGACAGAATGAGTCAGACACCTCAAAGCCAGAAAACTCCTCAGGTTGACAGGATTCTCTCTGGGATTCATGTACCCATTGTCAGGCCTTTTTCAGAAAGTCAAAATAATTCGTTTTTTGTGTTGTAGTGTACAACAAATACACGCTGTGTCACTTGTAAAAGTATCTTTCTCATCAGAAGGGGGAAAGGCAGCAAAAAGTATGTCAGGAATGCTGGAAAGGGGCAGACAGTCAAAGCAAGTCATACTTTCTTCCCTCCCAGCCTATCCCTCACCCCCCCGAAACTCTTAACTTAAGCGTGAAAAGCCCATTTGCAAGAACAGCTAATTACAGGAGGGAAAGGCAAATGATTCAATAATAATGCAGGGAATGTGAGAACAATTTAAGTATGACAGAAAATGGAGAACTTTTCAGGTGCTGGGTTTCTGAGCATCCTAAGAAAACGCTGAGACAATTCAGCTAAACACACAGTCTTACTGAAGTAGTAAAGTAGTAAGTAAAGTCAGACTTAAAGGCTTAACCATTTGCCTACCAGTGAAAGGCTATACTCTATGTATTCATCTCTACAAACAACAGAAGATACACACCTATAGGCATTTTCCCACTTGAGCTTTAAACAATTCAATAAATCAATGTGAACACTAAAAACATACATTTCTCCCACAATTTGTCAGACTCTTTCTAGAAAGTGGATGCTTTGACCAAAATGAATCACTTCCCGTTTGCCATTTCATTTCATGTCTCTGATTCTCTGTGTTTCTCATGCTCCCTGAGGCAACAGCATCTAGGTTATACTGCATGCTACAACAGAATAAATACAACAGCCTACAACAATACAAATCAAGTAAATACTCACCTACCTTGATATCTAATTAGAAACTTATTTTTACAAAACAGTGAATTATCTTACAAATGTTGATTTTATGGCAGTTTTACTTTAGAAAAAGAAGTTAACAAAGAAAAAAAGGCTTTCTTTACAAAAGCACGGGCCATTACTTGGTTCAAAGGACTGTCAGAGGGTGTTGAACCTTTTTTACTCACTATCAGGTGACAGACACAGACTTTTTTGATAGAGGAGAAATGTCTCATGCGGATGCTTATCAGCCATGAAAATAGCAGCTGATAGATAAAGCAGTATGAGGTGTTTTCTGTTCTTCAATCTTTAAAAGTCTTAATTCTCCTTCTTTCAAAGACAAAAGGGGTTGATTTTTTCTCTTCAGAGCACATGGATGCAAAAGGCAGTTCTAATTGCTGCAAACGACAGCCACCAAGGTCTTTTTTGAACAAAAACATCGACAAAATTTGAGGAATTTCCAATAGGCCAGTTCAACAACTGCACATGGGAATACCCACCTACAACATATTCTCTTTTTTTTTTTCTTTTTTTAATTTCTATTTCAAGTTTGGCATAAGAAGTGCAATCCGAGATTTGTGTTGTTTCACCCCATTCCTGTGAAGAGTGCAGACTCAGGCAGGCTAACTATCAGGAATTGTGTGATTGAGTGTTAGGCACACTTTTGGCCAGAAGTTGAAAAATAATAATGGAGAGCTATCATTTGTCCTCTGCTAGAATCAGTGGCATTAAAAATCAACTTGAATAACAGACTGCCAAGTGCCCCGACTTTTGATCAAATGTTTTAGAAGAAAACCTACACAGAGGAATATTGTTCTCAAAATCAAAGATTGACATGGGATTGATAAACACCCCTGCCTATCTTTTTTTTTTAATGCATAAAATAGCAAAAATTAAATTATAGAGCATTGACTTCACACAACAAGGTGTGCCAGCTATGTTTTTAAAATAATGCAAGTTAAACCCATACAACTTTTATAAAACATGAGAGGCAAGTCTGTTGCCAATTACTTTTCTGAGAGTGATTACTGAATATGCTTCTTAGGAAAGAGCAACCTTCCTAAATTCCTCCTGGAAAAATATTATTGACCACAGAGTGCCATACATTGGTCCACATCCAGTGGTTTACAAGGTAGTCAGAATCAGGAGAATTCCAGTACTCCAAAAACTCAAGAAGGACCTGTGAACATGGTACAACCATCAGCAGTGTGGCTTGGATGAACTGAAATTCTTCCAACCTTTGAAGAATTTCTTCAAAGCCTATTGCAAACTACATTTGCAGTTCTCAGAAGGATCTTTCAAACTAATTGCAGGAAGAAAGATCTCCTAGTAGAGATCTACAGTCTCCTTGAAAGACTGTACTTACAAGCTTAATAAAAGCCCTCCACTGTAACTTACTTTAAGTTAAAATAAAGCTTATAAAATGTTAACCCATCTAGAACCAAAAGTTAGCACAAACCCTGGAGGAAGGAAAAACAACAACAGACACAGTAATCTTAGATCCAGAGTTGCTGAGAAAGACTTGAAAATCTATCTTTGGTCTCAAACCTTGAGGATTTTAAAAGGTCAAAAGGGAAAACTTCCCTGTCTATCTTTTGTACTGACAAAAACAAAGTCTCATTTCTGATTCCCTCCGCTAAAGGCAGACCAGTGTCAGGATGCAAAGATTAAAATAGAAGCAGCTGAGAACACTAATCTAAATCTGTATGCTCTACAGTTTTGCATACAAGATTCCTGATTGGTGTTAATGTTTTGACACCAGATCACTTTTCACGATGGAGCAGATGAACTGCCATGACTTCTGGACTTCCAGAAGTCAACAGGAGTGGCTTCACAGTGGCAGTTCGCATGTGTTTGCCTGCGTTTCTCGTGCGAGGTCTGATCAAAATACCATTTTGAAGCCTTTTGCTTCTCCATCTCTCCCTATATTTCTCCTGTCTTCCAAGAGACGACTCTATGAGCATAATTCACAGTAGAACATACTGGAGACTGGAATAGGTAAATGAGACATGTTTGATACAACACTTACTCTGTAAAACAAAAGAAACAGTATAGAATGCCCATGATCATCAGTGGTTCCCCTTCATGCATTTTCAGTCTTCCTGTTAGTTGCTGATGCAAATACAGACAGATCCCTCCCTCCCGCGGACAGCACTACTTCTATTTCACACTGTATCTATTAAAAGACTATTGAAAATCCTGCACCTTGTTGAATGTACTTATTTCGTGGAGCCTGAAGGCTAAGAATGACAATTCCAAACTCCCTCTTCTTTGGTTTCTCATACATAACAGGCACGTTAGGATAACTCCCACACATCTTATTACTTACCTAACATTTGGTGGATCTGAATTTATGATGGGTGTAGCACAGACAGGCTTGTTTCCTTGAATCTGGCTTCTGAAACCTTCTCTTGCAGGCAAATAGTACACCCTTTGGATAACGACTCGTACCTGCACTTCTCTCCATCCCACTGCTCCTTGGCTTTCCACCATTTCAAGCAGAGAATCATTAACAGCACCCAGTGCTAAGTGATGCTTTTTAGGATCACAGGTGTTATGGATTTGTGGAGTACAAGCCACCTGATGAAGGAAAATCCATTAACAGAAATATTTATTGGGACGGTGAAACTATGGAGTGCTAAAAAGCACAACATAAAAAAATCTCTGCAAGAAATACAAGGTCAGTTTCAAAATACTTACTGCACACAAACTGACTTACATACTACTGACCAATGTTTATTGAGGATTTTTAACAAACAGCTAAAGAGACTACAGCACATAGCACTCTCCTGTATTGACTGCTGCTCTGGAATGAGCTAAGTCAATCCATGAGAAATTAGGGCGACAGTAGGAGGAAAAGAGAACTGATACTAGTATTTATGATTCTTCCTCTTGAATAGTTTCATTTTTACTTTTCCAGTGTTCTGTTTATCCCTTTTCTAAAAGAGAGGTAAAATCTATCTTGAATGCTGCAGATTTTCACACTTATGTGAAAATGAACAAGTGTCTAGAAACTTTAATGTAAAATGTTTCAAGTAAAATGTTTCAATTTAAAAATTAGATGATTAATGAGAAGTATAAAAACTTAATCTGAAAGTACAAACCTTAGTCCACCCTTTAGCTATTTCCCAAATGTATTTTAGAAGCACAATCCTCTAAACTTCCCAAATACATATCATGTACAAAAGTATGTTTTATTTTCCCTCAGTTTAAAGGAGAAGTTGCATTAGTTTTCATTCTAAAATAAATCTTTTAGTAAAAAAACTGATTGCAAGTATGAACTAACACTCTATGTACAAGCTCCTTACCAGCAGAAGCCAAAATCTTATTTTCAAATAAGAATAAATTCTTATTTAATTTCAAATAATTTCAAATGAACTTTTTCTTTATAGCTGGATGCAATGCAAAGTTTTACAAACCTAACCGTAAGTATTATCCACCATTTGAGAAGCAAAAATACAATGTTAATAAGGAAATGATGGTGTGATGATACGCTTGTCTGCAAAGTAGTTACAATGAAACATGTCTAATGAGTTTTAAGTGAAATGGTTTTGCTAGGAAGTATCAGGGAAAGAATTAAATTGCTCTGTTTTTCACATACTATAGCAGAAGCTCTCTATCAGATGGACCTGCAGCAAGAAATTAAATTAGGGTTTGATTTAGGCAACTGCTTCATTCTTACACTTACAGATGGAATTATATACATATATATGTATATATATGTAAGACAAATAAAACAGTGACACTCAGCGTTGTTCTTGAGATTCTTGGGACCAAAATTCTGAAATACTAACAATGATTTTTGGGTGGACAATACAAAAACTTCAAACATATCTTTAAGAAAGTGTTGGTGCAAACTATCAGATAGCCAAATCACTTAAAATACTTCAGCTTGTACAACAGCTGGAGAGTCAGCAGTCATTTTGATATAAACAAAGTTATAACAGGAAAGAAAACAAATTGTAAAGATGCTGGAAAGGAGGCTGGTGTTCCCAACTGATGCATTAAATAAAAGAACAGGACAGACTAGGAAATGAGTTCAATAGGAGTGGAAAAACGGAATATTTATTAAAAACAATATCTCAGCTGATACTATCTTAGCAGTTATCAGGAAATTGATTTTACTTCAAATAAAATTTGGCTGCTCAGCTGTATAGAATAAAAGAAAAATGCATGAAAAAACAAACTACAATTACTATTTAACACAGTAGTGAGATTTCAGCAAAATAACCTCTCAGCAGTTCAGCCGTTAGATGAGCCAGAAGCCTCTGCTAAGAAAATATTATTAAAATAAACATCACATATTATTCAGCCTTAGTTAAATGAAAGCGGAAACTGAACAGGTCAGTAATTTTTGTTTTTGTTATCATTTCCAAACATCTGCTTGCCAACTTCTTACAAAATGCTGAAGAACCAAATGAATGAGTCTTACCTGATCATTTGAAGATTCCTGGGGTTGCTTGTCAAGGTCATCTAGTTTGAATGTCTGTGACAAAGATACAATATTCTTTCTAATAAGCATCTTTGTAGGACCCTGTGTCTTGCTTGTTTCTAAGTGTTCACTGAGTAATACCTTCTGACTGAAATATGTATTCATGATAACAGGAATATCTGCATTCTTGAGAAGTAGTTTTTGCCTGGAAAAAAATAACATAATTGCCATCAAATCTAGTACAAGGTAAACTACAGATAAACACTATTTTCAGTTATATTGTCTATTTCTCTCCCCTTTATTCTATAATTACCACTAAAAAACACAAAGGCGTATTATCCGACATTGCAAATAAGTCACCTCATAGATACATTCAGCTCGGATCAGCCCCGTGAGCTCAGGCACAGCCCTGTGCACCTGGGGACAGCATTCACCTGGTAGCAGTTTGGGCTGACAGGCCCCATGAACCTCATCCAGCTTCACTCAAACACTACTTGGTATCTCAGAATTGTCTCAGTACTATGAAGAGTACCAAGGACCCCTCCGTAAAGTTCCTGTGGTATAAGCTTGAAAAGGAAGATAATTCATTCAGTTCAGTATGAATACAGAGTGCTGGAGCTGCTGAACCCAGCCTGGCCTTTCAGAGAGACAGACATCCCTCTGCTCAGTACTTCCCATGAAGAAGAGTCCATTCTCACCAAGGCCACTGCAGAGCTGTTCCTGATGCTCATCATTTTTTCTCAATGAAAATCATATGTTTTTCCTAGGATACACTGCATGTGATTTTGCCACTTTATTTACTTTCTGTATGTTTGTTGCTGTCATTAACTTGGTCTCCAAGACACAGTTTTGGTTTCTAGTGCCAATCTAGATTACCAAACAGTTTCATATGCAGCAATTTCTTGCCTTACAAACTAAGGTAACAGTTGCAGAATCTCTAAATACAGCAGTAATTTCATGCCTAAGCAGGTCTCAATGTTGATACTGTTCCACATGATAGTACCAGAATCATATATGTAGAAATACATTTTATCCTCACAGGATACAAATCTACTGAAGTCACCATTACAAAAACAATCAGTCATCTCATTTTCTCAAGACCATCAAAGGAGAAACAAAATCCATTTGGTAAGTCTATTGCAGGCTGTGTTTTTCTATTAGGTACAAAGAAATCAAGTCAACAGAATAGGAAAAGTAGCAACAGAGTAATAATTATAATCACCAATTTTATTTATAATTTGGACAATAATGAAACAAGATGATAATTTCTGCCCTTTAGAAAAAAAATATATTAAAGAAGGCTCGCAACTTAATAAGTATAAATTATATACAGAAATTACAAAAAAGATGTATTGTTTCTATTTATTAACACTCACAGAAGTTATGATTTGAAATAGAAAATTCATGAAAAGAGATGGAATAAAACTGAGTACTGAATCCCACTGCAATGCCTTGCTACCATTTGGGAACTCTTAAGTAGGCAGCAGTTCATCCTTAATGGCCATCCAGTCCTTTGACTCCAAGGGAATTTATCGACATGGGTCCCAGCTCAGAAAAGTATGACAGTAGCTCACAAGGCTGCCAAATTCACATTGGCTGATAATTACAAGATTAAAACAGGAATTAGCTCAGCCAGCAAACCAAGACACCTCTGGATCTTATGAGCTTTCTATGCCTCAGCTGCCGTTACTTCTTTCTGAAGAATAAAAACCTATATAAAGTTGGTTACAGATCTCTGATCAGTTTTGGCTGCCTTTCCATGCAGATGTGGAATAAAAGTTTTAGCACCCGCTTTCTCGAGATGTCTGCGCTCAGACCCAAAGCAAACAGGAAATCTCACCAAACACGAGTCTGCTACGTCACTAATGCCAAGAGAATGTTTGTTTGATCTAAATAATCACATTCTCTAAAAAAAATACTGACGTTAGCAGCAAATCATTCATAGGAACTCTGAGGTTTACGGTGTTACTTTTATCTTCCTGTTACAGATATATGATGAGGTTAAACATATGCACACACATATATTTTTAAAGGCAGGTATGTTTTTACTGGTACTCAAATTATGTGTAACCATGGTTTTGCTATTTCTATGCATGCAATGCCTCAATTACTTTTACAACTACTAAGAGATTTCTGTGTTCCATTTTCATCATACCTTCACATGGATAATACCATTAACTAATGGCCAGTCAGCATTTCCACAAAGAATAAAAAAGAAATACATTTTCAGGACAGGCTCTCCATTTCTTTCTTGTATTATCAGTTCACTAAAACTGGCCCTTTAATGGAGCTTTTCTTACAGACTTGAGTATTTATCCACTGACTTACTTGACTATTAGCTAGGTTAGGAGTGTGATCACAGCCATCTACTTAAATCTTCCTTGTCAATAAGCAGATTTCTCCCAAGAGGAAAGGAAAAGGATCAGTAATAAACAGAAATGATAATCAATTGAAATGAAAGAAATGAAAGTTAAGCTCACAATTCTGTATCCAGGTGGATGGCCAAAAGGAAGTGTTTTCTATGTGTATATATATATCCTTCCCAAAGAATGGCAGCTACAGGTGCATCATTTTTAATGTGCCTAAGCGAAATGAACACATTTCAGTTTTGGGAACAAAATAATAACATATTTCTAAGATAACCTGCATTACAGAAACTGTGATAAGATGCAAGAAACCATGAACATATGAAGAAAGATGCTTTAAAAATCATTACAACAAACACCAATTTAAATACTGCGAAATGAACAGAAGATTCTCTCCTTCCTGTTTTTCACTGTGGAGATAAATTTTGTAAGAAATATTATAAGATAGAAAATAAATGAGACAAGCATTCCATGACAAACATGCTTAAGGTCGCGTGGAATGCCAGATGGAGTATCCCTCCACTAGATAAGACAGCTTGATATCAGAGATACTGATTTCAGGATTTCCTTGACCACAGAATGACTGAGCCCCTAGCCCCTGTGATAGGTATTGCCACCTTCTGCCGCTGGATATGAGAAAAAAAATCACTTCCACAAACTGTGACTGTGGTCCTGAGCTTCATGTGTTGCCCCTGCTTGGGACCCCATAACCGATCCCCTCAACCTTCTGCATCTGTCCCATGTAGATTCTGTACAGTCAGACACAGGCCAGCTTTTACTCTGAGGGACTTAAGCATATAATGAGGAAAACATCTTGGTCTTCTGTTGTATTTAAACAGGGAAAAAAAAAACACAAAAATAAACAGATTTGAAGATGGCTTTAAGAGTTTCCTAGATGATTTTGCAGAACCCTCCTCACAGAGAAAGTGTTAAATGAGCATTTAAAGCCTTCTGTATCCTCAGTTTTCTTCTATCTGCTTCCCTGTAGATGTTTATTTTCAAAGAATGAAAAAGCCATATCTCAATATTCAAATTAAGCAGAAACAGTGGAAAGAAAATGAACTTCACTACATGCTTAAAAAACCTTTTTTGGCACTCTCTGATTTTCTTCTGGCTCAGCAAAGTATATTTAAAGGTTGGATTAGACGTCCACTTCCTTAATAACTGCCTTTAGAGGAAAGGTTATTTGCAATGACCTGAAGTGGAGACTGTGAACTTTCTATGCTAGAGGACATTTTTTTCCCGGTATGCAGACAATCAACAATTGCTGTAACTGGTCACATGCTAAAACAACATGAGGCAATGATGGTTTTTTTTTTTTTTTGTTTTTTTGTTTTTTTCCTCTCTTGCAGCAGCTTCTCTCTCTAAGGATGGAGCTTGCTTTTTCTCTTCACCCCCCTCCTATGATGAAACACAGGAGCAGATATGCTTGCCTACTGCTCTGCTAATCACAGTCTATCACAATTTCAGGTACGAAACACTGCGGCAACTTATGCAAGGCGCAGTAAGAAGCTTCACCTCGAGGCAGGGTCCTGATCCCGCTCAAGCGGTCAGAAGGCTTGTAGTGTGGTTTGCTGTGAGCAGCCCACTGTGCTTGCTTTCCATCCACGCTCTCAGGCAGCAAGAAGTTCTGAATCTATGGCAGCAGTTAACTAACAAACCACAAACTTCCGCTCAGTTGTGCTGACATCAAACAGCGATGATGGTTCATGAACTTAAGATGACTTTGGATCACTTTAAATTCGAGAATTTCTTCTTTGCTCCTTCTGGGTACTTTATTGGGCTTCCCCCACTCCCTCCCCCTTTTCTTCCACAAAGTACAAAATGCTTGAAGCTTTTTTTTTTTTTCTTTAAGAATACAGTATATTAGCTGAAAACTCTTAACATTTCAGCAACCTACAACATGCACTGTAATTATAAAACAGACTCATTTCTAGACTCAAAACACTGATTTAGTAAGTAAATAAGATTTAACCTCAAGAAGAACAGTAGTCACATGTGAAGGCTAAAAGCAAGTCAGAACCTCACCCTGGTACCCAGAGAGCAGGAAGGGCCTTCCCCTGTAATGCATACCATACAAGGCCCATCCCTGATTTTCTAGAGATCATTTATTTTGTCCAATATGGAAGAAGCTGCTCATGTTGCCTCTCACCAGGAGTTGAGTGCCATACACAGTGTTTAATCTGCAAAACATCGTAACATGTCCAAGAAGTGTGATTCTGAGAAATACCTGAGTACTTCAATTACTTTTTTAAAAGTCCCAAGTTCAAACTAATCTCTGTGCACCTACCACCCAAGGACAATAACTATCTTCCCAATGGTCAGCTCAAATCAAAATACCATTCGGAACAAATTAACCTTATGTCAGGCCTAGAGCTCTCCCAAATACAGAATTAGCTACTTAGCAAAAACAGTAAAAAACAGTGTGACCAACATCCACAAACAACTATTCACTCAGCAGTGAGTAATATCACCACTCACATGTGAGCCTCCATCAGTCTCATTTACCATCAGTTGAACAATCCGTACAAATACCATGTTCACAACTTCACATTTCCATAAGCCGACTTTCCTTCCCCCAATATCAAAGGGGGGAAACAAAAGTTGGTGTGTCCTTCTTTGAAATTATCTCACTCAAAGCAACAGTAATTGTGGGACACAGTTCTTAAGACTGACTACATGCTTTTCTCCACAAAGAAAGAGTGTTAAGCATCTAGACCAATGTCCAGAGTCACATACATCAAATATATAATTCTCTGCCTTGTCAGGTTTTCAAGGAAATGCAGCTTCAGCACTTCAGAACAGCAGATAAGAACGAAAAGCTAATCAATCTTTGCCTAAATTGCTTACTCTTAGAATATGATGCATTTGTGAATAGCTAGACATTTGTTCAATATCTTTATTAGAAATGCATCTTATTAGAGGCTCCTTTCCATGAATGCAACACAAAGATTACATAGCAAATCAATGCATATATTTCATCATAACCCAATTTACAACCATTTGTCACTCAAAGTGAAATGCAAGTAGTGAGGAAAAAGAAAATCCATTGCACTGCAAGTTCCTCCTTCAAAATAACATTGTATTTCCCAGCCAAATTATTTGTAAATCTAAGAAGTAACCCTGATAAGAAATAACAGTACAACGTTTTTATCACTATATCATTTTACTAATTTTAAATTAATTACATATAAACTAACCACTGGCTTGCCATACTACTTCCTTTTGAAATGTGACACCTTGCAATGTGAAAAAGTTGGATGGAAAGTTTCGTATTTAAGAGAGCTCTGCTCTACAAAGCTTGTGGTTCGCATTGCGCTCCTCCCTCAGTCAGTGCTCTCACCTCTGCAGGGAAGTGAGTGGGTGCCTCCTGAGGAGGACGTGCAGGTCTTCTGATGCAGGAAAGCACAGCTGAATAGCAAAGCAAATCCCATCCAGCTCTAGGAAACTACCACAATAACACACTTCAGCAAGACTGGAAAATAGGGATTTTTCTTAAAGCTTTCCAGCTACTTTCGCTATGAGGAAAGCACCTGAAATTTCTAGAATTCTAGACAATTTATTGAAACAAAACTTAACTTTTGGCACCTACAACCGTAACAAAATTCCACTCACAGGCTGCACAAAAATCATCTCCTGAGCTACAGGGGATACTACTTTTGAGAGAATTTGCTAAAAAATATACTTAAATTGTGTGTAAATCAGTTACAAAACTGTTATAGGAGTCTGAAGTTCTACTGGATAAAACACAAAACAAAATGAAGCTGAGCACAATAAAACATTAAACTTGAAAGCTGATAAAAAAACAAGCAAAAAACCCAACACTCCCACACACATGGAGGGTGTTACAAGTAACTAAGGAGATACAAATATGGTTATCTTTTCATAATCAAGATGTTATGAAAGAATTCTAGCTCGTATGTTTACTCCATATATCAACTTGTATCTGACTAGCCATGAGCTCATTACTCAGAAGACTTCTTCTATCTGCTCCCAGTGCTAAACTGCACGTAGAGTTTGAGGTAAACGAGGATGAAAGCTGAAGTCACCAGAAAGTTCAGGGATACATCATAGGGATTCCGAAAGGAAAAACTCACCACCCAACCAAACAATAAGGAAGAACAACTGAAGCAAGCAAACTGCAAAGTAATGTCATATTAAAATTTGTGGGGAGTGTTAAGACAGCAAAAAAGGCCATAGCAGTGTCAGATCAGAGACTCATCTACCTCAAACCCACTTCCAGCAGCAAACTGCAGATACTTGAGGAAGACTACAAAATTAGAAGTAAGCCAATAGTGAAAGTTCTCTAGAACACTCTTTTGCATTCTAGAGAATTCTAAAAACTTTCAGCTTACGAACTTAATGAAGCGGAAGCAGTGTCAACACAGTTAAAGAATCCTCAGTACATTTTTCTTCCAGGAACTTCTGTGTCTGCTTTTTGACTGCATGTACATTTCCAGCATCCACAACGGCTGCATCCACACGGCTCAACAGTCACTGTATATGCATGTGAGGAACCACTTCCTTTAAGCTGTTTTGAATCTGTCACCTAGTGGTTACACTGCTACTCCCCTACTTCTGTTTTGTAGGAGTAACTACCCTTCTTGATACATTTCCTAATAGACATCCTCATCATATCTTTTCCCAGCAGCTGCTTTTTTCAGTGTGAAGATCCATAGCTGTTTTACTCATTTCTCATAGGGAAGCTATTCCATGCCTCTGCTTGTCCACCTTCTCAGATATGCTTCTACTTGTTTGAGTTGAGGGACTGACATTGCAACCTAAAAATGCACCACGAATTTCTAGTGACATAAGAATCTCCCTGGCTTCATTTCTAAGTCTTAGAGTTCTATACACTTTTTCTGATCTCTAGATGAAAACTAAGCTGGAAGATTAATGAAAGTATTAAGGAAAATGAGCTCAAGAGATAGAATGCTCACTTAGCAAGAGAGAGGTAATGGGATCAACACCCACATTCTCCACTCTTTCTCTGGGCAACCTAATCCAAAGCCTGATTTAGTTGGATGGCAAACCCGCCTGTCACAGGAGGGTTAAAATTAGATAATCTCTGAGGTTCCTTTCAACCCCAGCCACTCTAGGATTCCATTAGAACCCTAAAAACTCAATCCTGAATAGTAACAGTTCAGAGTCCATCATTTCATGTGAAATTTGAATTCACTTTCAATTTCCTCATAAGCCATCAAACCCTTTGTCGC